TCACATCCTTCATTGGGTGCTGAATTCCCTTCTTGAAAATTGTGAATTTTTGGTTCCTTTTTTTTGTAAGTTGACTTTATGCATTGTAAATTGTTTTACTGATTTTGTACATTGTTGTCATGTTTGAGTTGAACTAGAAATTTAGTCACTCTTTTGACATGTTTTTGTAAATAAGAAGGTTTAGAACTTATGTTTGTTAACAATTAGTTATGCTGCTAGTTCAATAGAATTGTATTTTTATTTTTTTTTGTAACAATCGTAAATTATTACCATAACCATCAAAGAAAAGATACAAATAAAAGAGCACCTATTTCTGAAACAGAGAATAGGCCTCTAACAAAACAAAATACCTAGTTACATAACAAATGCTAAATAAAGTGTCTACATTTATTTGCTCTCTTAGAACTACTAAGTAAGTGTAATCTTTCACTGATTTCCTACTTTATCTGTGTTACTGCCTCTTCCGTATGTACACATATGTCTCTAAATCTCCTCCAATTCCTAGCACGCCAAGTGTGGTATATGATTGCTCCGCATATAGCTGCCATGATCTCTTTTTTGAATTGCTTCCAACGATTCCCTTTTATGTTTTCCAGGACATGTACAATACCAATATTATGCACTGATACTTCTGTCCATTGGTGCATAACTTGCCACACAGCTGATGTCCATTTGCAATCTTCAAAGAGATGAACATTAGTCTCCATTACTTTTTCCTCAAAGAGTTAGAATTGTATTGTAATTGTTTTTTTAGAGTAAAATGAAATGGTGTTTGTTTCCCATTGGTTTTCGTAATCATATGATGTTCGAGCCATTTTACGTGCACCTTAACTAATTTATTGAATTTTCTTTTTGCTGGGATTTGAATCATGATATCTTATAATTTTCGCCCATTTTATTAATCATTTTGAGTATTAGAATTTAAAACTGCAATACAACATGTCTCTTTGATACTTACGAGCAAGATAACTGATAACAAATTTCAATGAATATTTCAAAAGTTAACAAAAGACTTACTTTATTATTAGTCAGAAATTTGATTATTTTACAACAATTATTTTAGGTCAAATGATTGGAACATTTGATTTACACCATTAGATAATTTGACAACGAACAAGACAGAAATGGAAGAGATCAAATACACGAAGACCATTTCAATTTTATCCAATAGAACTATAGAAGAGATCAAATATATGAGTGTCATATTTGCACGGAGTCATGTTAATCTTCTCTGTATCGTTTCAATTATAATAAATATCCCCAAATTAGGGACTAAAGGCCGTCTTTTCAAAATATACATATGAATTTAACTACCCAAACACTATAAAATTCTTTAAACAATGTGGTTGCCATTTTAGATCAGAAAATCAACCATGTTTATTTGAATTACTTCAAAGAAGTTCTTCCAAATATTGAATTAAAAAATAAAATTCCTGAGTGTTTATTCGAGGGATTATTATAATATATTGAAACAACGCAGTTTTGACAAAATCATATACTCACTCTTTTAATAGTAGTTAGTTATAAGTAACTTCTAGTAATTAATTAATTTCATTTACCTGCTTCCTTCTTACTTTTTGTTTTTTTATTCAAAGAATCAAAGATAGTGACCAGATAATGTCGATATTTTTCTCCTTATTGGGTATATAATATATAATATTAATATCACTGAAAACAAAGAGCAGTTGGGTCAATACATTTTTCTGTTTCTATCCCTTTCATTGCATAAGCACAATAATCTGTCTTCATCATTTTTTAAAAATATGAGTAGAGGATTACAAGGTAGAAAAATGAACTCTTATCGACAGAGTGAACATTCATATATTCAATCAATTGAGCTATTAATATTCTCCGTCTCATATGATTTTTTAGAAACCTTACACATTTTATTTTTGTTTAACATATCATACCCAAATCTCACTGGTTCAATCAATGCAGATTCACATTGAGTTAATTGAAGTTGAAAATGCCCCTTATAAAAATAAATTAATTTTTTAAATTTAAATTAGAAACCTCTGATTAAAAATGACGAAAAGAAATCATATTATTATACCATGTGTAGAAAAACTATACTCTAGTTTCACATTCTAGTGAACAGTAATTACATTAAAAATTAGATTAACACAAAAACCATTGGACAAACGTTAACTGTTTCACCCAAGGTAATGTCAAATCATAGACCTTTGACAAGGTAGCGGTGCATACTTTGAAGTACTGTCCTAATATTTTGACGAGGTGTACATGGATTGAATGGTTTAAATATTTTAAATATCAAACTAAATTATTTATGTTAGATTTTTAAATCTATAAATCAAATAAAAAAATGTAGGGTTTTTCAGCCTCAAATTTTTCTCAGAATTTTTAGGTAAAGTCTTCCATACAAACATATAATTAACTTGTGATTCAATATTTCTTTAATCATAGCACCATATTTGTTTAGCCACCAAACTTGATCTTCATTTTCATTAATTACTGTTAATACTTGATAATCCTTTTTTGGTGTCCCACTTTTGGTACTTAATTGTCGTCCATAATCTTTCAATTTCATAAGCGTGGCGGCCTCAACTTCTAATGATTATGAAATATACCAAGACTTTCTGTGTTTTACTTTCTTTGTATTCTGAGAACAATCACATAAATTGACCTTACCATAGCAAATTAAATAGCATTAATATCGTTTTCTCAACTGACAACTAAATACTCTATAAATTGTTTTTCACCTAGATACCTTCAAATTTGATGTGTCGCGTCAACATCAAGTATCCACGAGCCTGAGACGAATTGAGGTATCTAAATATACATAGTATTTAGGTGTTAGTTTCTGTATTGTGCTATAAAAATATTATGGCCAACTGGCTAATCTATAAGCACAATTCTATTAAATGAGCGAGAAATTTTAGAACACAAAAAGTTGGTTATAAAGGTGACTGTTAGGTTTAGGGAGGGCCTAAACTTGAAATTTTGGACACACTAGCAATGCACGAGTATTAATACATCATTATCTCAGTAAGAGGGACATTTAATTTTTGCAGCTTATGATAATAAAATGCATTTATTTGTTGAAGATAATATTTTCCTTCGATTTCAACTTAGGCCAGTTGAAAAATCACCGATTTCCATATGATGAGTATAATATATTTTCAAAAGACCCCTGTAAAGATATATAGTCTCATTAATATTATAAAATAATAATTCTTTAAAATTACAAAAATATAAAAGACAATTTAGTAAAATATGATTATAGTGTTTTTTATTTTTTTGGTTAAATTTTAAATCTAGTTGAAGCATCTCTAACTTTTCTTATAGCATCCAAAAATTTCCTTATAGCATCCAAAAATGTTGATATTGTCTTCTCGAATTCCATCATAAAATTGTAAAAAGTTCTAGGCACGATAAATGCTTATTTATGCATAACTGATTCCAAAAATATTATATCGTCTTCAACTTTATCGTCAACATTTTTTGTCCGATGGTATCACAACTTCTTCTAAGCTCTGAACTTCAAAATATGTATCATTTTCACTCGGATAATCTACCAGACTATTGACATCCATTTTATTGCGGTGTACGAGATTATTAATCATGACCTCAAGTTAATGAATTCCTCTTTTCACAAGAGAGTTCATTTATATTCCTTGAGGCTTTATCTCTCCAACAATGTAATCAAAATTAACCTTCATAAATTCTCAAAAGCACTCTTCAAGAGATAGAGAAGAAACAAATCTTTCAAAACTATGTTTAGATCACCAATTGTTGAGTGTAAAGGAACTTCAACCACGTCTTCTGGGGGATATCCCTTTGAAAATACAGCTTTCGAACCCCAAGAACTTGGGAAAATGCAACAGATGAACCTCAACAAGTTGTCATGTAGATCAGTCCCTAAATGACAATTGCTTGCTTTACAATACTGTCCTAACATCCAGGTTTAACTCATCAAATTCCGCGAAGCTCAAAAGCAGGTTATTATACAAGCATAAAACATCAGTGTACAGATCGATTCCAGGAGGAAAGCTCAGCTAATCAAGTGATGCGAACTGGAGTTTCCCAAACAGAGTGTATCAACAAAAACTATTCGAGTCTCATCAGTACGTATAGAGAAGATTTAGGGCCAGTTATACACCTGGGGACTTCTTGTTGAGCAAACAATAAAGAAGTTAGCTGAACCTATCCTTCAATAATGTTGTTTACTGAGCATACTTGGCCACTGGATTAAAGTGTTGCAATTGAGCACTGAAGATAAATTTAAAATGCCTCCAATACACAGAGACCCAATTAATATGTTACTCTATAAACTTCCATCCAACCTCACTTAGGGCTACTGTCAAATGGAGTTGGGTCTTGAGCCTTCTGGAGTTGGTAAGACTACAGGCTCAAAGTTGGTATTCCTTCCTAGATCTTTCTAACAAAGCATGTAACGTCCCCGTCTCTTAGATTGTCATTACGGAGTCAGTCTCTATTCTTAAGTGTGTGGTTTTCTTCACTGGCTTTCTCCTGCTCTTCTTTTTTACTTTTTACGGTGATAGTATAATAGAAGTGTGTAGAATTTTAAGACATTGATTTGTTCATAACAAAGGAACAGTGATGGGCATGTGGTTGCCGATTGCTTGAGAGCTTTTCCAAAGATCAAAATTAAGTTGACACATTGTTTTAATTCAGAAGGTACAACTTGGACTTTGCAGAAGGAACATATACCTGTTAAAATGGAGCCACATAATAGAATCAGATAATTTATCGTGTCCTGACCCTTTAAAAACTACAAATCACCTTCAGGTCTCTGCTTTGATCAGGGAATTCTCCGAAGGTGACAAATGTAATGCTCCTGCCCCTATTCCTGCAATTCAGACAAGAGGTTTGATCAATCTAATATCCTACCTGAACTGATGTGCCACTTTAATTACTTTTTGACTTCTGCCTCATTTGGAAAAGAGCAAGAGAAAGAGAAGAAATAAATCACAGTTGTTATAATCACAATTCACAAATGAAAATTGAAGGAGAAATGTCTAAAAGTGTGTCCTTTACACCTTGAATCTCTTTCGTCCTTCCTCAGAACTAAATTGAGAGACTCGCGAGTGTTGCCTATGACCTCCATCTCTTTCTTCCATTCCTCTTGCTGGCATTCTCTTTCTTTCTTCTATTTGATGTCTAGCATCTAGGAAGAATCCATCTTTATCCCAAGTCACGTCGTAATCAGCTCTGAGTCGTGATCCTTGCTGCACAATTACCAATCACATGATTTACCAAAAAACAATAGCATCAAATAAATAAATAAAATCTTTCAAGAATCGGCAGAATGTGTCATTAAATTTGGATTACAGAAGATCTAACTTTTAGAGGTTGAGAAACAAAACCATCAAGGATTGTTGACTATGAATATGAATGCGCGCACACAAGCAAAATGTACTCCCTCAGTCACATCATATGTAAGGGTGTTTGATTAAGCACAGAGTTCAAGAAAGACTCTTCAAACTTGTAATCTAAAACATGTCATAGACATATGGCTATGAAATCATGTCATTAATGATAAAATGAGAAGTTTGAAGTTAGATTATTGGGAAAATGCATAAGTACCCCCCAGCCTATGCCCGAAATCCCAGAGACACACCTAACCTTTACTAAGGTCCTATTACCCCCCGAACTTAATTTATCTATAATATTCTACACCTTTTCGGCCTACGTGGCACTATCCTCGAAGAAAATGTCAACATGCGTTGGGCCCACAAGACAGTGCCACGTAGGCCAAAAAGGGGTAGAATATTACATATAAAATTAAGTTCGGGGGGGTAATAGGACCTTAGTAAAGGTTAGGTGTGTCTCTGGGATTTCGGGTATAGGCTGGGGGGTACTTATGCATTTTCCCTAGATTACTCCTAAATATAAAAAGGTATCCTTCTTTTTGAGAAAGACTAAAAAGGAAAGTGTGTCACGTAAAAAAAGATAAGGGGAGTATGAAGTACCAATCTTTGCAACACTTATTAAAGAATTAGGCTTTTTGATGGAAACTTATTAAAGCAGTAGTTGAGTAAAGCCTGATTGTTTAAACATATGTCCGACCACATGTTAGATATTTCATTCATAATCATCTTTTGAGTGCTAAAGAAGACGAGAAAGACTAACTGATAAAATACTTTTCTCCAATGTGTTTCAACAGAGCATCAATTACAATATAGACACACCTCAAATTTTTCCTCCTTTTCACTATGTCAAACCTGTTTCATTTCTTTCAATTTTGGCAGAGCAAATGCTAACCTTCAGAGTACATGGGATACTAACTATAGAAAAAGTAAAAATAATAGACTGATGTTCCAACAAATATACCTTTTGCAATGAGCGGCCACACAAAATCTTCAAGGCGTCATAGAAGTCCTTGTGCTTCTCAAACCGCACTACAATCTTACAATGAAGACCAGAAACTATGTCTTCTTCATCTGCATCATCACCTATACTATTGTCCTCGGCTACATGAAGATTCCTAGCAAAGAAAAAATAAGATAAGCCAAATTAAAGATGAAAATTACCAAAATAGTTGAATGTATATATGATAAGCTTAAGAGCTAAAATCTGGAAAGAGAGGGTGAGCGATCAACAAGTTTCTTTCCTATCTTTTCTTGGACAAATGGGAATAATGAAATAAATAAACGCATAGTAGACATAGAAGAAATAGGGACGCAAAGTACAGAATATAGCAGTCTCCAGCTCTACGCAACACGTAGTTGAATGTAGTTGATACATGATTGTTTAACAAATTTTGGTAGGTAATTACATTTCTAAAGAAAAAAATTTTAGTAGGTATCAATATTGCTATAGGAAACTTCTTCTCAATAACGGTTAAAAAAGCACTTGATATATTAGTCAAGTGAACAAGTATACATGAAGCTACTGCTGCAATTATCCATGAACAAATAAACAGCTTTCAACACCAGAACAAACAATTCAAATGTCAAACAAGTAGTCAACGAGATAATAACTTTTCATAAACAGTCTAATAGATGATATAAAAACAACTAATAGCACTTACCTTATCTTTCCAAGCGCAGAAACAATTGTGTGAGTAACCAGCATAGAGGGCTTAGATGAGACCCTTATCTCTGCGAACCATCGTGATGGCATACCTTTCAACACGATTGTATCTGGCTGCATCTTTGCACTCCTCTGATATCCTGTAAAGAAGAAAATAGAATATACAATTACTTCAAGGTACCAGAAAAGCATGGACCATTTACACTAGCCCATCATATCACACAGTCATGAATTTCACCAACAATATAACGAGGAACTAAGTACTCCTAGCTCGCTCAAAATACAAAAACAGCCAGAAGCTTTGATACTTTAGACTGAGTGAGCTCAAGTTGTTAGCAGTTTCAGCTTCATACCCTTTATGTACATAAACAGAAACAAAAGGTCTTCCATTTACACCATACAACAACTAAAAAATCTGTTCTTGAGCATCCTTTCTTCTTAGCTCCTCATTCGAAAGTTAAAATCCAGATTTTCTTATCTAACTATCAAATTTCATTCATCACATGGACTTCTACATTGAGGGAAAAGTCATATAGAACAGTGAAACAGGATATTATTCTTATTATAACAATCAAGTTTCTTCACTTTTCTTATTTTCTTCTTCCGGCTACTACAACAAGGAAATATACATCGGGATTCACTCCATTCCATTAGATTCTATAACGGACATTTTCTACTAACATACAAATCTCTAAATAAACAAAAAGCAAGTGTACCAGCATTATAATTCAACTGCATTATATCCAAAATACTAAAACATATAAAATCTTTACTAACCACGAGCACCAAAAGCAATAATTTCTTCCCATTCCTTCTTCATTCCTTCAAAATCATCAGACACCGGCACAGCTACATTCAACTTAAACTTCGTACCTTCCAAATTCAACTCAATCCCATCCAATTTTTCCACAAACCCTCTCCTCCATTCTAAAAACTTCTTATCAGCTCTCTCCACATCATCCTCAGTTTCCCCAATCACCTTCGACAGAAACCCTAAGTCGTGAACAAAAAGGCGACCGCGCGCCACCGGCTCCTCGCGCTTGCGCTTGTTGAGATCTTTGAATTTCCGGATTTGTAGGTCCTCTTCAGGAACAGTGATGAAGAATGAAGATTTTATGTAATCGATCAGTGATCGCTTGAACTTCCATTCGTCGAACGGATTAACGGACTTGTCAGCACGGTAGACTGTTAAGAGAAGCTTAACTCGTGGAACTAGAGAAAGTCCGCTTTCGAGTTCTAGGGTTTCGGTTGGCCGGAGAGAGTTTAACGGCCGATTACTCATCGTCTCCGGTCAGCTTAGTTGAAGCTTGAGCTATTTTTAAGTAGGACTTACTGCTATGCTTTTTGTACTTTTAATCAGTGTTTTAAAAGGGGGCGTGCGTTTTACTTCATAAGAAAAATTTATAAAAATATATCATTAGTTTAAAATAATAAGAAACATGATTAACGAAACTCATAGAAAATAAAAAAATCAACTCCAATATCTTAACTCCGGCTCCTATGCAAACAGCAAACCACACAACTCCAACTCCTCGCGAACCACACATGCTCGATCTAAAAACCTTGTCATCCGACTCGTATGCAATAGCTTGCGAACCACACATGTTGATGAGCTCGACCCGGAAGACAAACTCGTTGACATCTGAATCCTATGTAATAGCTCGCAAACCACACACGTTGACGAGCTCGACCCAGAAGGCAAACTCCTTGTCATCGCAAGTAAGGGGTTTTGAACTTGAGACCTCCAACATTGAAGTCTCAAGCCCAAATCATTAAGTCAGTTCGAAAGGTACGTTAACTAAGGAATTTAACATATAATTATGTAAGATTTATTAGGCGAGCCTCGAGAGTTGGGCGTTGAGCATGTTCAGGATGTACATTCGGGCACTTAGATCGTAAGTCTCATAGAACTAAATCCCAAACATGAGTCTTGGTGCGTTTTGCAATAGCCCCGCCCCAGAGCGAACCCCGATGCGAGTCCCAACACAATCTTTTAAAACACTGCACTACGACGTCGTATACATGTTGTAGAGCCAAAATCAAATTTTGAATTACCTCAAAAATTTTACTACAAATAAAATGAAGTAGAATGAAGAAAATACGACAACAACAACAATAAACGTGGTGCAATTCCACATGTGTAGTGTGAAGAAGATAGTATGTACACAAACCTTGTGGAGGTCGAGAGATGGTTTCTGGTAGACTCTCGACTCTTTAAACATTAGCTAATATTCAAATGTTTTCCAATGCCATGAAGATGGTTCAGACTCAACAACTTCATATGATCATAGTGGTAAAGTATACCTACTGCAAAAATCAAAATGCCTACAAATTAGCACAAACAAAGCCTATTATCCATCGAGTTTCCATGTACTAGTTGATCCCCAGGAATTTTTCAGATGTCATAAAAGAAACAAGAATGAGCACGACGAGACTTACAAGCACGAAATACATAGTGAACGTTTAGATATACTTGTATGAGTTCGTAGTTACAATCATGTTGTATTGGGTCATTGCAGTTATCTAAACACAGAACAAAGAGTACTTTCAATGAAAATGTTCAGTGCTGGATTGTAAGCAGAAGCAAAACAACTGTGAGATCAAGATATTACTCCAAAAGCCAGCAAAAAGATGTACTAATTGTTATATACACTGATACAAAATACCATGAGTACTGATACTACTTCCGTATCATGTCCATTAGCCTGTCGGAGATGTTGTTCATCAACATCGATAGGTAGTACTATCCTGTTCATGTTGGGAAGTACATAGAACCAGATAGACTTCATAAATCAGTCACAAACGTCTACGCTATTAACAAATTGCTACTGGATGTATGGCTGAAGTCAAGTTTTCATTTTCTGCCTTGACTTAGTAGTCACTATCAGATAAAACTTTGAACTGGTGCAGAAAGCTTTAACTCGTGTGCAGCTTGGAAAAAATCTGCTGCTTGATGGACTGATCCTTCCATCTTTGCAAGCATTCCAAGGTTAAACCACGCTTCATGGTTCGTTGGTTCTAATCGTAGAGCATTCATTAAAAAGCTTCTAGCAATAGGGGCTACGTCGTTACTCATCTTCATAAGGACTTTAGCTGTAGAAACAATGCTGGGGATATATTCTGGTTCTATTGATAGAGAAACTGTGAAGGCAACAAGAGCTTCCTTATATCTTGCTTTAGCTTGAAATAATACACCTAAAAGTATTTAAAGAATCATTTTTAGTTACTGAGAAAGAAACATATATATTTTGCACAGTTATGTTAAGACCTGTTGCATGCCAATTCCGCGGGCAGAAAAATTGAATTGCTTTGGCTCTGTTTATACATATTTCAGCATCACGCCACGACTCAAGATCTGTATATAATCCTGCTAAATCAAGCCATGCTTCAACTTCTAATCTTCTCTGAGAAGTTACCTGCAGCCCAAACAAAAAAACTTTATGACCTCCAATTTCCTTAACAAAAATTATTCCACGTATCGTATTGTGGGGATTTCATATATCAGATTGTCAGAATGATATGTATACTCAACTTTCTCAGAGGAAGTTTTAAAAAAAAGGTGTGTACCACATCATTTGTCGCGGACTCCTTTTGTGCTTGAATCAAAGCAAGTAGAATCCTGTATGTCTCTATGGCTTGCTTGGGCTGTTGTTGAGATATTTGAAGGACAGCTTTTAATCTGAGATGTTCCATTTGGTCGATTTGTCCAGTCTCATCGAGAGCAAGATCAACTATGGCTTCAGCATCTTTGAATCTCTGTTCTGCAGAAACGACTAAAGCCAACAACTTCCAAGCTTTCGCTGTACTTCCAGCCGACATTTCTGAGTAGCGCATTACATTATTAAAAGCTGGAGTCAAGTTTCTTTGGATGGCATTTTCTAATCCAAGAATAAACATAATTTCTGGATCCTCCTTGCAAACTGAAGCTGAGTTTAAGGCAGCTAATGCTTCTCTTTGGCAGAAATTTCTTTCAAAATCCGAAAGGGAAACTCTTGCAGCATTTCCATAACAGACGCCAAGAAGTTTATGAGCTTGAACTAGGAAATGTTCGTCTTGATTTTTGGCCGAGTTAATTACTTGACGAGCAAAATTTATCCCCTCGTGAGCTTGCTGCAGATCCTGAGAACACAGCTTTGCTCCCAACAAGAGAGATGGAATATAAGGTTCTTGGTTGGCTTCCGAACATCCAGAAATTTTCTTGACAAGGTTCAATGCCGTATCATTCTGACCTGCAGCACTGTAACAAAGAGCAAGTAGATACCACCTCTCTGCTCGGGTATAAACTCCGGGAATAACCTGCTCAATATGATCTGCAACAGACTCAAAGTTGTTAGAAATTGTCAGCGCGAATGTCAAATGGCTCATGACTTCAGAATCCCATATTATTTGACCATTTAGCATTCTGCTCATGAGTACAAACAACAAGAGAATTGCTTCCTCCAAGTTACTTTTAGGGGCTGTTGAACCCCACACTTGAAATTGAGCAGGAACCTCAACTTCAACGCCTCCAAAGAGTAAAGTGGTGGCTAAGTCTTTTTGTATACAGGCCAATCTTTGGGAATCCAAATTCCATGGCTTGATTAGCGCCCTTCGATATGCAAGCACAGCTTCATCCAAATATCCTGCTTGTATCCATAACTTCGGAAGTAACTCGAGTGCTTTATGAAACATCTCCAATAACTTGCAGTCTTCAGAAATTCCATCTGGTATTCCATTTGGTAATGCTGAATCGACAACATCCAGTATCATCTTGCACTCCTTAGCAGCATCTGATGAGTTAAAAATCATATGCAGCTACATCAGTACCAAAAAGCAGACAACACACCCTTCAATCCATTAGCATTGAGTTCATCTATCAATGGCATACAGAACTAAGATTGACAATACATTTTTAGTCTTCGACAACTCTGGATGCTAAGCATAGTACAACCAAATAACAATAAGGAGAAATACCAAATAACATAACGAGAAGCAGCTTTACCTTTGATTCGGCTGAGCTCTTCTAAGGATTTTGCTTTAAGCAAAATTGCTTCAAGAAGTAAACTCACAGAATGCAGTGACATTACACCAGCAGGCACGATATCACCTTTGGAACGCGGTTTTAAGGGCCTCGTTCTCTCAGAAATGGCTTTAGACATTCTCGATGACAGGGTTCTAATATCTATTCCTTGAAACACTTGAAGGGCAGCATCAAAATTCCCTCTTTGATATTCTAGCCTCCCCAACAAAGCTCTTGCTTCCTGCACCCCAAACCACAAAAGAGCCAAATCTACTTACATAAACCTTGAGACAATGCTACTAAATCGGGTGAACAAATCGATCAATCATCAATCAATCAACTATGCCTCAATACCAAACAAGATAGAGTCGACTATATGAACTATCTGTTAGTCACTCAACTAATATTTATTATCTCAGAAAATCACCAAATTCAATTTTTTTTCAACAAAGAATGTAACTTTATCAGATACCAACTATTCTTGAGTGACCATATGAGAAATCAACTCCTATCTTTAACTCAAATGCTAAATAAGTTTTAAGGGTGTTAAGGCTATTACCTCATAGTTCAAGGAAAGTGCCTCTTTTAAAGTTGATTCAACTTCATCAACTTGTGCATCATCAAGCTTTGAATCCCAATCTACTGTTCCATTTCTTGAAGAAATACCACTAGCTGAAAAATCCCTTGTGGCCAATGACTCAGGAGACTCTGGTGGTGGCTCATCAAATTTGAATTGCTCACCTGAACAAGCACACAGCATCTTCTCCAAAAAAGCAACAAAATTTCACACTTTTGTCAACTTCAAGAATCTTACTTTAGGTCCAATTCTTCCAAAAGTTCAAATCTTTCATAGTACCCTTTTATCTACAAAGCTGAAAAAAGCCAAATTTGAAGACAAAAGAGTAAATGCAATATTGGATCAGATCAAGAATTGCTATGGGCAAAAAGATTCTTATCCAAATAAGGAAAGCAAATTTGAAACTTCCAATAAAATTACAAATTTACAAAAAAAATGAAAAGCTCATGGAAGAAAAATCCCAAGAGAAGTCTTATAAAACCCAATGAAACAGAAGAATAATTTAGGAACAGAAATTAAAGAAGACAAGCAACAAAATGACAATTAAAATGCAGAGTGAAAAGGGCTAGACAAACAAGAGAATAAAACATTGAAATTACCATAAAAACAGAAAACTTTGTTTTACATGCATTGCTTTTAGTAATATAATTAGTCATGAAAGCAATTTCTAAGGAGAAGTCCTTGTTAACAGTCAAGAATTACTATTGAAAATCTATAGATAATGATATAGGGTTTAAAGATTTAAGTAGAATGGTCCATATTTGATATTTTTACCTTTTATTCTTTAGTTTACTCTAGTACTCACTTAACGCTCGTTTGATATGTAGAATAAGATGTAATGTTTTTAGTTTAGTTTAGTTTAATTTATCATAACTTGCGATTAAATTTGAGTTGTCAATGAAATTTTTTAGTATAAATTTAATTATATAATCTCGAAATAATTTAATATGTGAATCAAACAATTTTGATATTTTTTTTAATAATTTGTCCAGAAGCTGACATGGTAGCACAGATAGTTTATGGACAGGAAAAAAGTATGGGAGGGGGGCAAAAGTTGTTGCACAGTAGTAGCTGTTTGTAGATTCTCTGTTTTCTTGTTCCATCCCCACCCCACCCCACCCTATTTCTTTATTGTTTTAGGGAAGGTTACATGTTTTATTTTGTAATATTAAATCGAGCCCAAAACAGATAAAGAATATCTAAAGATGATTGAAAAATCTTTTTCAAAATTATTTTAATGAAAAAAGTAGGCATCGATTTTTCGCCATCTAAATATGAAATATGTTTTAAGAGTTGGATTATTCGCTCATTTTATATATGAGCTAGATGCAGAATATCATGAGATAGTTTAGTTCATATTTAGCGGGGGTTTTAAAGACTTGAGGGAATCTTTTGTTGTATAGCACTCCATAAAAGAAAAATTATTTGGACTCTATTTATTTTACACTACTATCATTTAATATTTTTTTTCGTGAATAAGAGGTTCTAAGAGTCAAATATCATAAAGTATTTAAAATTATTACTTCTATTACTCAGAAAAATTATTTGGACTCTATTTAGGGCCTGTTTGAATCGGCTTTTGACTTATGACTTATAAGTCAAAAGCCATAAGTTAGGATTTCTAACTTATGACTTTTGGCTTATTTTTGTTATTTTGACTTTAAAATAAGTGTTTATAAACACTTTTTAACTTTACCCAAACACTTGTTTAAAAGCTATTTTGACTTAAAAGCACCTAAAATAAGTCAATTCAAACGGGCACTTAATCTATTTTACACTACTATCATTTAATATATTTTTTTCTGAATAAGAGGTTCTAAGAGTTAAATATCATAAAGTATTTAAAATTATTACTTCTATTACTCTTATACTATAGTCTTCAGTTTTCTTGTTGTTTTGTTATGATCTTTTACTTTAGTTATCATATTATTTATTGTTGATATTTTTTTTTTCTCCTTTATTTAGCATGACTTCTTTGTTAATATATCTATTTTATTTTCATACTTGATTTAATAAATTTTACTTGAGCTAATGAACATCAAAAAAAAAAATTTTATTTTCATAAAGTAGGAATAAGACGGGTAGACACAATCCCAAACTTCACTTATAAAATTACACAATAATATATAATAATATTTTTGTTGGTATATTTAGCTTTAAAGAGGTATCTAGTCAAATATCGCAGGAAGATATTATAGTTTGAAAATAATAATGACCCTAGTTATAGAATAGGGAGACAAAAACCTCATGATACAGATGGTAGATCAAAATGACCAAAATACCCAGTGGATGACCAATTAATTGTCTTTATTTTATATTTATTTTTTCTTGTACAAGGGTAGTATGGTCATTTTGATTTGTAATAATAGGATTCCTTCATGGCAGATTTTTTGAATATAGGGTGTAAGTTATAGGTTTTGCATGTGACAAATGACAAGGTTTGCCAGAGTTGCTTTGCTGACAAAAAATGTCGTGTGGTGATAGTAATTAAGTAAATGCTTCAATTTAAATTTCGTGAGATAGAAATAAGGTTTGCGTATGTTATAATTTTCTCAACTGACAACACAAAAACAAGATCAAGAAAGATATCTAGTTTGTGAAAAAACGCTTTGTTTCCTAATGAGACAAAAGAAGACTTTGGATCGATTCTTTTGACAGTCACATCAGCAAATTTCGCTACAATTATAAGATACACAATCGTTGTTCTTGTTCCTTTAATTATATTACATTAACTCACTTATGAAATTTCACTGAATAAGTTATCTTAGTCTACTAGCTTATATTACACTTTTACTATAGTAATAGGTGAAAATTCAACATAATAAAGAAAAATCCTCCTTTAATGTATTTTTCAACTTGAAATGTTCTTAGTAGGATTTTAAAAATTGAAAAGTTAGCCTACCCATGGTGTTAAAAGGATAAAAACATTTTTAGGAGAATTTTTCTTATAGAATATCAAAGACAAAAGAAAATATTGAGAGAAAAGGTAAATGTATATTAAATAATTCAACTACGACTTTGTTGGCAAAAATGCATAACATGGGCAGCATGATGATAATTAAGTAAATGAATAATTAATATAATCATTTTAAGAATTAAGATAATGACTGATTTATTAGTATTTTTAATTTGCCTTTTTGTATTCAAAATCTCACTGGTAAAGCACAGTGCTCGAGCCACGAGGATAGTGGCCAAAAACCTATAAGAAATATGAGTGTACAATTTTGGACTATTGTCTACTGCTATCATTTTTTGAGTCCTCTACCTTAGTTGTATTTTTTATATTTTGCTTCTTGTAAAAAATGCGGTACAAAAATCTTAATAGCTTTCGTTGTTTGACAATCTAAATTTTTATTTTATTGGTGAGAATTTGATACACTTTCCAATACCGCCATCGATACAAAATTGGCACACATTTATCCTTGTGGTTTGCGATATAGTCGGGTTTTGTCCTATTTAACTAATGGAGCCATTAAAAAAGAAAATATTGCGCAAACTAGAGAGGCAAAAAATGTTTAATCCTGAACTTTTAAATATATACTTTCCGATTCAGTGGCTCAAATTTAGTGGTTAATTATTTCCTTATTATTTAATTCCTTCTTTTGTATGTACTTGATTTTTATTTTGTATAAAATGGATTTAAATTATAAAAATGACAAATGTAAAAAAAAATAAAATTGTGCATTATTAGTGCAATTTTATTTTGTTAATCAATAAGAGTTCCTTAAGCAGTAGCAGCTTCTTTTTTCAGCTACCAATTAGGATTTTGTTCAGCAACAATCCCTCCCTTGAAATACTTTTCATTACTATTCATAAGTAATTTGGAGATTAATTTTGTATCACCCATATCAATCGAGTATTTATCGTGACCCAAGCCTACCAACTTCTTTTTGTGTATGCATTTTCCAATCCAGGGGTAAAATAATAAAACGACTCATAGCTAGACAAAGTTATCAATCCCAGCTCTATGTCCATGTCATCATCATACTCGCCGCGTCAAACCATTGATATGACATCAAGAATTCTTGAAGTATTATCAAACTCAAAGATAAATACTCTTAACATGGTATAATATTTTTCTCTTTGCGGCAAACTCACACAATTTTCATTACAACACACTCATCTTATTAAAACTCTAAATTTACCCTTGTCCGTATATATTTTATTATATAAACTCATAAACAATATCAGTGGATCGAAGGTTGTTATAGCACTACGTACACGTTAATTTCTTGCTATTATTGTGTTGAGTATCGTCTTTGATTAGCTCCCCAACTTTCATCTAACATTCATTTATGAAGGAAATTTGGGTATATGTACTTACGCTTCAATGGGTGGATTTACCTAACAAAGAGGTGTTTAGCAAAAATGTGCTCTTATTGTGTAGTTTTGAGGTAGCTACAACCAATTTCCAAAATACAACACCCAAAAGTTATAAGTAGATGGTTGGACATGAATTGATGATATTTTTTTTATTTTTAAATGTTTGAAATGAAATTGAAAAGCATTATTTGAAATTTAAAGTTATGTTTGATATAATTACACAATTGAAATTATAGAAGTGAAAATTTATCTAATTGGGTCCATAATCTCCAATGAGACCAGGATATTGATGATGACGTCACACATCATATTGTAGTAGGGTGGATAAACGGAAGCTCACATCCAAGATACGGTGTGATAGAACGTTACCTCCCAAACTTTGTTTTCCAAAAAAGTGGAGATGCGTGGTGGATAAACGGAGGCTCACATCCAAGGTACAGTGTGATAGAACGTTACCTCCCAAATTTTGTTTTCCAAAAAAGTGGAGATGCGGGGTATCGATCCCCGTACCTCTCGCATGCTAAGCGAGCGCTCTACCATCTGAGCTACATCCCCAGGTGTTCTTCAAACAACATATTTTGATATTTATTCGTTCAATATTAGAATTGTTTATTAAAGCAAGAACAAGTTTGTGCAGCTAAGCTAAAATTGTGTGTATTTTTCCTAATTGGAGTAAACAAATAGGAAGATATATCTTTAACAAATTTGCTTTCGAGAGATGTTTAGGAAGTGCAACTAGTGGCACAAGTAGAATTTTTATTAAAGATATCAAAATATAAAAAAATAAATATATGAAGATATAAACAGAATTCAACACATACTATATATATTTCTATTATATAAAAGAGTGAAGGCGACCAGGGTGACCAGAGGCACTTTTGTCATTTT